ATAGAGATGACAAGAATAGCCTGCCATCAGCTATCTAAAGATACATGGCATTAATTTAAAATTATGGTTTCCAAAGCAGCACCAAATAATTTTTCTCCCACCTCAGAAAAAACGTTCTTTAAAATAATAATTAGTAGGAAGCGTCAAAAGACAAAACTGTTCCTCTGAACCAATACTAGCATAACAGCAATTTTTCCTCAAGAAAAAAAATACTTTAAAAAGTAAAAACCCTGTTTCAGTCTGCAAGTGTACTAATTACATATGAAACAGAAGAGACAGTTACACTTTAAGGAAATTTTTCACACATATTTAATCAGGGCTTTACTGTAGAAATTGCACTGTAACAGTGGGATTACTTATTTTAGAGTCTATCTTGCACAGTATTGCTCATTCCCTACGTATGTCACTGATGGATGGAGGATTCAGTACCAAACGTTCTTTGCTCCAAGCTTATCACCTCTTTGGCTGACCTAACGTGGGAGGCCTGACAACCACACTTCCTCACTTCCAGCTGTGCCGAAGGGACAGTGCTCGCCTGTTACCTACCCAACAGGCAGCAACTCAGCCATCTTCCCTTTCATTACAATTTCAGTATGAACTCCCTTTACTTTTAGGTATTACAACAATTTGCCACCACCCCCACCTTATTTCTTTCCACAACAGGTATTTTACCAGTCTGTCACCTATCACAGAAACACCACCAAAGTCAAGTCCAGCATTTAGTCAAACATGTGACAAGGAATGCAAACATAGCTCTTAACTGCAATTCCCATTTCAGCTTCTAAACTACAGGAAACTGAAAAGAAAGAAAAGGCCACTTCCCTAAAGCCTACACATGAGTGAAGGGACACACAGCCCTTATAACTGAAATTAAAGACACCTTCTTTTGTCAACCATTGTCACTAACAGATAAGCAAATTTCAGCACTGAACTCTGCCCATCAGCAGGTTGGGTTTTTTTCCTGTTTGCTTGTTTTCATTCAAGTAGAGTTTTTAGGCCAGGGATTTCAAAACCATAATGCCAGCAGCATGTCATTACTACATGATAAACCATAATAACTTGCAAGCTTTTTTGCCCTTGAACACTAAAATGTGGTATTCACAGAACATTGAGATAAAAAATAAGACCTGAAAAAAATCAAGCAATGCTTACTAAACAAAGCTTCTGTAGTGTTGCTTTATTTTTATTTAGTTTAAAAAAAAAATTAAGCCTCAATGTTCATAGACCTCCTGCAAGGTACTCAGTTTCATAATATACAGGAAATTATTCAGAATTGAATGTTAACTTATAGGCATCTATACAAATTGACGCTACTATCAAACAGACAGGTATGCACTTGCAGCAGAGTGGAAGCTACATTTGAACGAATGAAAGAAAGAAATATTACACCTTTAGGACTCATAAATTTGAATCATATAATATATGGACAGCTCTTAAATGGATGTTAGAGACCAAAGAGTGCAAGGAAAAAAGATTAACAGGAACAAACAAGAGACAGGTCATTAGGATTTTTCAGGTTTGGGAGCCTGAGCTTTTGTCCATATTGTTGACAAGGCTCTTCTAAGAATCAAGAGAAACATTGTCACAGTACTGCCAGAAAATCTGTAATTAATAATTCCGTTAAAAAAAAAAAAAAAGAAAAAAACCCCAACAAAACAAACAAACAAACCCAAACCCCACCACCACTCTCAAGCACCCAGTAAGTCAAGAAGATCACTACAGCATAGCAAGCCTTTTCCACTTGCATAACTGCTTGAGATTTAACACAAAACATTAGTGAAGGAAGATTATTACAGTGTCTGCATTTAAAAAAACCAAAACAAAACACAACAAACACCAAGCCAAAAAAAACCCAACAACCAACCAAAAAGCAAACTGTCTTTAAAAATCTTGTAGAATAGGAACTTATCTTTTAGTTTCCACTGACTTGCCATTAACTCTGACAATCACAGAACGGTTAGAGCTGGAAGGGACCTTAAAGCCCATTCAGTTCCAAACCCCCTGCCCTGGGCAGGGACACCTCCCACCAGCCCAGGTTGCTCCAAGCCCCCTCCAACCTGCCTGACCTTGAACCCCTCCAGGGATGGGGCAGCCACAGCTTCTCTGGGCAACCTGGGCCAGGCTCTCACCACCCTCACAGCAAACAAGTTCTTCCTGAGATCTCATCTAAATCTCCCCTTGTTGTGTTTAAAACTGCTCTCCCCCGTCCTATCACACTGTTCCCTGATCAAGGGTCCCTCCCCAGCTTTTTGTAGCCCTTCTAGGGACTGGAAGGCCACTAATCTACATAAGTCTACATAAATATTTTAATATACCTTCAAAATTACTTAAGAAACTAGTATGAACCTCAGCATGGGTTACACAACAGAGATCGCACATGTAGAGCAGAAATCCAGGATGTCAGTTTAAAACATACCAAAAAAACCAAAACAAAACAGAAAGAAAACCAGAAGAATTTATTGAAGAAATCACTTGCTAAATTTCTGCTATGGCTACCATGCATTCTAATGTTACTATCAATCCTTTTAGTGCTCAAGCTGCTCAGACTTGAACAGGTGGAAAGGAATCAGGGAGCGTATCTAACAGCCCAAAACACACATATAAATATATATGTGTGCATGTGTTTATATTTATACACACATGCACACACAAGAACTTGATACACATATTTTTCCAGGGGACAGAAAACAAAACTCAGACCAAAATCAGCATTTGTAATAGCCCATGTTATCATTCATTTCTGTGATGCATCCCATTTTAAGAAAACCCCAGGGAACACTTCATCTGAAAGAATATCAAGCTGGTCCTGAGTTCTGGCACATTACAAGAAGACTGAACAGGCTGCAAAACACACTGTGTTAATAATAATACGCAGAGCTAATATTTTCCACTGTTACTACCACTCTCAATCCAGCTGTCTCATGTGCTGGGTTTGTTTACATCCAGTTTTCATACCATTTTATAGCTATACTGATTTCATTACAGATACGGTTGGAGAAGTACATAGGAAACATTTGCAGACAGAACACTTGAAAAAAGGATAGAGGAAGCTGCTGGAATTTTCAGCACAGTAATACTTCCTATGTTCCAGCAGTCCACAACACAGCGCTCTGACTAGTTAAGTACTGCGTCCACAGTAGAGTTCCCACAGTTAAATTAGAACTTCAGAGAAACTTTGTTGGTGATAAATCAACACTGTTTTTTGGGGGGGGGTTGTTTGGTTGTTGTTTTTTTTCTTAGGAAGATGACTCCTACAGTAGTTTTAAGTCTTCAAACCGTAATAGATCATAAAGCAGCCCTCTCCCCAGAGAGTGCAGCTGACTCGAAAAAACACAAACAGCACACACTCAAGCACTCATCCCTGAAGAAGATATTTATAACAACAAAAAATTTCCAACACTGATGAAAAATGTACCTATTATGGATAGAAAAAATAATTTTCACATTCTACAAGTCCTGAAGACTAGTAGTGCAAAGATATCAATTACTGGCAAATTTGTCTTCAATAAACAAAGATAAACTTCCATTTTACTTTGCTTCCACAGTAGCACAAAGACAAGAAAGATACTGACTGGGTATGAATTTCACTCCAACAACTTCATCCTGAGGTTGGAGTGGAGGGTCAAAGACCTTAGGGATGCAGAAGGTGGAAGAAAGGAGCTGGGGGGAAGCATAAAAATGGGAACAGAAGTCCATGAGTGTTCATTCCAGCATTTCCATGCTCTCTACATCCCGATTTCACTCTTCAACTGCTATATCCTATACACCTTTTCTTCCTACTTCACAACAAAGCTGTTCTGGGACAGCAAGTGATTTTTTCGCTGTAAACAAAGAAACCTTCTACAACAGCATTAGGTGGCAACCGCTAATCAGCACTTCACTACGTTATCTGTATTCAGGTAAGAAGCCAAACTGCCAGCCAAATAAAATGTGAAAGTAAGAGACGATCTCAAGTTTGCTTTGCAAATCCACCCCACCTTAAAGTGAGGAAGCTTACTTCCTATGTTTCACTAATATAACTAAAGTAAGCCTGTTATCATGCATTCAATTCTGCTGTACAGAAGTGTCAAGAGGTGAATTCCCCACAGTAGTTCACTTGCAGTTTTCAGATCCAAAGTACAAATTACGATTAGGCTTCCTCTGACCGCACTTCAAAATTTGGACACAGTAGGATCCTAAATGCACATTAGTTATTTCTAACTTACAGGACACCAGTTATACCAGAATCTATGATTTCTATGATTCCATACAAATCACTGACCTCAAAATGCAACTCTGTATTGACACATTTCATCAATCACAAGAAAATGCCCACACAAACTGACTCTTACCTTGTCCTTTTCATGGGGAAGGAGACACACTGGAGGGAGACAGGAAAGAGACTCAAAACTCTCCTTCCCATCAGCATTAGTGGTTGCTTTAGTGTTGAGTTGGTACAGAGGTCCATCTTTAAGGAGCCTACCATGGCCAACAGCACGTTTGACAGCTAATCGTAATTGCTGGTGAAAAATGGAGGCAGCGCTACCTCCAAATAACGCAGACACATCTTTCTGACCTTTCAGAAAGCGCTCGATGTTCTTCAAGGATGAGCCACTAGACTCAGCCAAGCCCTCAATTGCCCGTTTGATAAGTTTATTCCAGTCCACGTTTGGTTTACCATCCAATTTGCCATGGTTCCGAGGCTTTGGAAGTGCTATTCTCCCAGGATTATCAGGATCCTTGTAGGAGTTGAGACCCTTGTTGGAGACTTTTAAAATAGTTCCATCTTTAACACTCAACTCTAACTGTTCCAGAACAGTTTTGCGGTCCAAACCGTGCGAAGACGACACTGCATTGCATATCCTCTCCTCTGAAGGACGCTGTTTTTGCTTCTTTACCTTTTTGATTGCCTCCAAAATCCACTCTGTATACAGCGGGTTGGCGAGTTTTACCATGGTGAAGAATTCTGTATATCCATAGAGTCGTTATCCTTTATCCCGATGCTGAACAAGTTTCACACGATGAGAAAACAGATTCTCGAATGGTGGGAACCAGCTAACCATAGCATACACGTTTTCTGTTCTGAATTACTCCTCCCTTCTCAAACATTATTTGTTTTCACACTGAAAAGAAGAAAGCAAAACAATTAGAAATTTTCTCATTCTTTCCAATAAATCCCATAACAGCTTCAGAGAAAGTTCTTCCCCAGAGGTATAAAGATTTTAGCATATCTCACCTCAACTTCTGGTCTGCACACTCACATTCAGAAGAACTGTAACATTAGGCCTAGAAGAAAACAAGAAGAGAGACATTTCCAAAGAACAGTTAGAAAACAACAAAAAAAATTAGCAGCCAGCATTAATTCATTAAACACATCGCAGACTTTTAATCCACTACTACAATTCTGAAACACTGCATTAATACTTAAGGTTTTATCTTTATTACTAATCAAAGCATGATTTAACACTGAAATAACTCCATATAGCCTAGAGAATAAAACGTGCTCTTTTAATTTCAATCCCTAACTCTGTATAAATTATATATCAAGTTTTGTATCATTGCTGAGCACAACCTAAATTAATATTGAGGGTGGGGGAGAACCCACAACAAAGATGTTAAAAAAGCAGCAACTTCAACACTGCCTCAAACTTCAATAGAAGGCAGTAGGAATAGCCAAGAGTCTTGAGCAAACAGCAAGAAACTTTCAGAGCACTTCCAGGAGCGTAATCATAGGTCTGATTCCCTCCTGCTAAGAAAAGCTATGCCAGTTGTTCCATCAAGAAAAAAAAGTGAAGAAACGCAGCTGGAGATTGTAATTAAGTGTTCCACTTTCAGAGACTATAGAAAAGAAGAATACAACATTATAATCTTCAGTATAGATGAGGCACACTGAAAACACTTGAGGACAAAGTAACAGGTGACCATACACAATGAAGACAGAACGCTTATGACACTGCTAATTAAATATGCAGATGGAAGGCTATGAGACTCTACTTCACAGCCCTTAGTTGTCTTTAACAAAGACTTTTTCTAAGTATGATAACAGTCTGTTGTTCTGAAGTTCTACTGCAAAAGTACACTAACCGAAAAGGATTTATAAACCGGTTATTACGAGGAACAGCGATTTTCTGCAAGGGAAATTTTAGTCAGGAGCTTGTCGTCAACACAGTTCTCCCATTCTGCTTTCTAGTAAGTATAGGAGAATTTATGAGCGCACGGCGCACATTTGCATACAGACATCAGACTCGGCGCACCGCTCCGCGCATCCAGTCCCGGGGAGCCGGGACCACGGCTCGGACCACAGCGGACGCGGCGCTGGACCGGAGTTCTTTCACCCCGCCAACAACGGAGATCGAGGGAAACGCGGTCCCCGCGGCCCGCCCGCCCGGCGGGGCATTCGCGCTACCGGCGGTCCGTCCCGGGCCGTGGCCAGGCTCCCTGCGTACGGCGTTACGTAACCGCCCGGCGCGGCCGGGGCGGCGGCGGGACGGTCCCGGCGCGAGGAGCGGCCCCTGCACCTGCTACCGCCCGTCCCATCCCGCCGCGGGCCGGCCCCGCACACGCCGCCCCGAG